TTCTGCCTGAGATTTAGGGCATCCCAGGTGCGCCGGTTGATAAGGGAATAGCTATCAAATTTGAACACCAACTGTTCAGTTGTGACTTCAACACAACGCTCGGCATGGTGAATGCGTCACCAAGGTTCCAATCCCAACTATCCAAACGACCAAGGATGGCATGATCGATACAAGGGTCCTCAACAATTAGAATGCGGCTTTGCGGAATTGAACACCAAATTAAGCCGTGGTCATAGGAACCAAATGGGAGTTTCAATAGAGGCACTCATGTTACATTCCGGGACCCTCAAACCAGCACGTTTATGAGGTGAAGTCCCATTTTGAAGGGTAGTTTAAGGTCCAGGGAGCCGTTGACTGAAGAGGAACGGCATCACTTGCTGTGCTGGAATCAACGATTTACAGCACACTGGTGCATCGCTTTGTAACTGGCCCTTGAAGTCAGGCGCCCCGTGACCACACATCCAGCATGACTCACTAATAGTCAAACCGACAAACCAAATACCTTTGTAGCTAGCGGGCAGTTTTCATGCGGACTGGTCATGTGGATGGAGGAAATCCACAAAACACACCAGTCAGCAGTCAGGACGGATGAAGCTCGGTTTGAATACCAGGATTTTGGTCCATCCACAGCTCGCACTGCGCGCGCCTATCCACGAAGAATGAGTTGCTAGTGCCAAGGTTGGCCAGGATCGCCTCGGTCCAAACGAAAACTTGTAAACATGTCAAAGACTTCCCTCACTCACCTCCAGACCAAACCCAAAAAACAAAATATGACAGCCAAGCCGTATTGTATTTGACCCTGAATGTTTGTCTTATCCTTCCGGGGTGGTCTGGGGGCACAACCTTTGAAAATACGCACTGCATTCGCCACCTGTGCGTTGACCGCCAAGCGGGTTCCTTTGGTCACAGGACGTAAAATGTCCATCTCCTGAAGAGAAATCTTACCCTGGCAGGGCCACATGGTGCCATGATGTGGCCTGCGAATTCGCATGCTGCACACTTCAGTTTGGTGTGCTCACAGCCTGTTATGCCAACTCGTGTGTACGGCTAACTGGCGCTACTCAGAGCAGTGCACAACAGACGTTTCAAACCGAGTCAGGCGGTCGATTTGCCGCAAAATATCGCTGCATTGAAACGCGGACAACACAGCAGAGCCGCTCATAACCGCAATTCCCAAAAAACCAGCCTGTCTCCGGCTGAGCTCCCCAAAACATTTCTGTCATCCCCTTTTCCTTCGGGAAAGCGCGGCTCACCGGCCACCAACCGAAAACCGAGACCTTTAAGTTTTCACTTCCGACTCGAACAATCCTGGGGCCACCAGCCGGAATGGGAAGGAGCTTGTCTCCTCGACCATCCGGGATGATGGTGCCTGACCCCAAACGCCGAAAACCGGGTCCTCGCCAAACGGGGGGGGATTCGGCCAGCTTTCAGCGTCCCTTGTGGTTTGGTGGTTTGGAGCCTGTGGGAAAACCGTGGACCCTCTACAAGAACCAAGGGCTCAAGTCTTCCCAAACCACCAGTCAAGAGTTACCTGAAATTTATCCCTGAGCCTCAAAGAAACACACCGTGTTCAGCCAAATGAGAAGTAGCGAGAAGAGATTCCACCGCGCTTGCTCTGCAAGCTCGAATAAAAAGAACTTTTGCATTCGGTTAGCTGAAAGGGCGCACAACAAGTGCTTTGCTCAAGGATGATTTCGCTGATCGCTCTGCAAAGCTCAGCTCATTGAGTCAGAATGAAAACTCCCGGCTCAAAAACGGTCCACCCAGAACCATGTAAAGAACCAAGAAGGCGGATATCCGCAGCTATTAATATCAAGGGGATCGTCACTTACTCTCCTTCATCTACCCTGGTGTTGAGCAAGTGCCTCATTGCTGCTCACCAGGCGCTTGCTCCTGCCTGGTCCCTGGCTGGCAAAGAAGTAATTGATCACCTCGGCCCAAGCAGCTTCAAGACTCATGTCGGAAGCCCTTCGCAGTGCTCAGCGCGGAGAAGGTCCGTTTGCTGCCTATAATCAGGGCTGAACGTGCCTTTGGAGTAGGTACCCCTGACATTTGCCCACATACATATATAGACATATAATGTAACAATATCCGCCGACAACAGACAGCGTGTTGGACACAAAAAATGCTCCTTACCTCTTTACCTGTTACCCCTCCCCTAACCCCTCCCCACCATTTCAGGCTATTGGGTGATTCGGAGGCGCTTCACTAAATCTGTTCATTGTGCGGGCTTGCGCAACTCAGTTTGTCAAAAAACATTGGGGTGTTCGATTCCCCCCGGGTGCGCTTTCGCATCCTTAGCAGCTCCAGCGGCACATCGCCAGCATCACCTGCATCATCCGCATCAGCGCCTGCCAAGGATGCGGATGATGCAAGTGATGCTGGGGATGTTGCCCAGGGGAAAGGGGGAAAGGATCTCAACAGCGAAAGGGGGGGAAAGATCTCAGGGAGGAAAGGGAGAAGATCTGGGGGAAAAATGCCTTAAGCGGGAAAGGGGGGAAAAGATCTTTGGGAGGAAAAGGGAAATCTTTCTCGGGGGGAACAGGCCCTAAGGGGCAATGGGGGGACAGGATCTCAAACGTGAAAGGGGGAAAAAGACTTTGGGAAGAGAAGGGTGGAGATCTTGGGGGGGAAAAGGCCTTAGGGGGGAAACGGGGGGAAGGATCTCAACAGGGAAAGGGGGGAAAAGATCTTAGGGAGGCAAAGGGAGACGAACTCAGGGAAAAGGACTTAGGGAGGAAAGGGGGGGAAAGATCTTTGGGAGGAAAAGGGAGAAGAACTGAGGGTGGGAAAAGGCCTTAGAAGGAAAAGGGGGGAAATAAATGATCTCAACAGGGAACTGGGGGGGAAAGATCTTAGGGACAAAAGCCAGAAGATCTGGGGCAAACAGGCCTTAGGGGGGAAAGGGGAGAAATGATCTCAACAGGGAAAGGGGTGGAAAAGATCTTAGGGAGGAAAGGGAGAAGATCTGGGGAAAAAAGGCCAACAGGGAAAAGGGGGGAAAAGATCTTAGGAAGGAAAAGGGAGAAGCTCTCAGGGGGGGAAAGGCCTTGGGAGGGAAAGGGGGGAAAGGATCTCAACAGGGAAAGGGTGGGAAAGATCTTAGGGAGGAAAGGGGGGGGGAAGATCTTAGGGAGGAAAGGGAGAAGATCTGGGAGAAAAGGACTTAGGGGGGAAAGCCCAACAGGGAAAGGGGGGAAAAGATTTAGGAAGGAAAAGGGAGAAGCTCTCAGGGGGGGGAAAGGCCTTAGGGGGGAAAGGGGGAAAAGGATCTCAGCAGGGAAAGGGGGGGAAAGATCTTAGGGAGGAAAGGGAGAAGATCTGGGGACAAAGGCCTTAGGGGGGAAAGGGGAGAAATGATCTCAACAGGGAAAGGGGTGGAAAAGATCTTAGGGAGGAAAGGGAGAAGATCTGGGGGAAAAAAGGCCAACAGGGAAAGGGGGGAAAGATCTAAGGAAGGAAAAGGGAGAAGCTCTCAGGGGGGGGGAAAGGCCTGAGGGGGGAAAGGGTGGGAAGGATCTCAACAGGGAAAGGGGGGAAACAATCTTAGGAAGGAAAAGGGAGAAGATCTGGAAAGCCTTAAAGGGAAGGGGGGAAAGGATCTCAACAGGGAAAGGGGGCAAAGGATCTTAAGGAGGAATAGGAAGAAGATCTCAGCGGGGGGAAAGGCCATAGGGGGGCAAGGGGGGAAAGGATCTCAACAGGGAAAGGGGGGGACAGATCTCAGTGAGGAAAGGGAGAAGATCCCAGGCAGGGAAAAGGCCTTAGGGGGGAAAGGGGAAATGGATCTCAACAGGGAAAGGGGGCAAAGGATCTTAGGGAGGAAAAGGGAGACGATCTGAAAAGGCCTTAGGGGGAAAAGGGGGAAAGAAGCTCAACAGGGAAAGGTGGGAGAAGATCCTAGGGAGGAAAAGGGAGAAGATCTCGGGGCAAGGGAAAAGATCTTGGGGAGGACAAGGGAGAAGATCTTGGGGGAAAACGCCTTAGGGGGGAAAGGGCGGGAAAGGATCTCAACAAGGAAAGGGGGGAAAAGACCTTAGGAAGGAAAAGGGGGAAGATCGCAGGGGGAAAAAAGGCCTTAGGGGGGAAAGGAGGGAAAGGATCTCAACAGGGAGAGGGGGGAACACATGGTAGGGAGGAAAAGGGAAAAACTCAGAAAGAGAAAGGGCCTTAGGGGGGAAAGGGGGAATGGATCTCAACAGGGAAAAATTGCAAAAGATCTTAGGGAGGAAAAGGGAGATCTCAGGGGGGGAAAGGCCTTAGGGGGGAAAGGGGGGAAAGGATCTGAGCAGGGAAAGGGGGGGAAAGCTCTTAGGGAGGAAAGGGAGAAGATCTGGGGGCAAAGGCCTTTGGGGGGGAAGGGGAGAAATGATCTCAACAGGGAAAGGGGTGGAAAAGATCTTAGGGAGGAAAGGGAGAAGATCTGGGGGAGAAAAGGCCAACAGGGACAGGGGGGAAAGATCTAAGGAAGGAGAAGCTCTCAGGGGGGGAAAGGCCTCAGGGGGAAAGGGTGGGAAGGATCTCAACAGGGAAAGGGGGGAACCAATCTTAGGAAGGAAAGGGGGAAAAAAAAGGGAGGAAAGAGAGAAGATCTGGGAGAAAAGGACTTAGGGGGAAAGCCCAACAGGGAAAGGGGGGAAAAGATCTTAGGAAGGAAAAGGGAGAAGCTCTCAGGGGGGGGGGAAAGGCCTTGGGAGGAAAAGGGGGGAAAGGATCTCAACAGGGAAAGGGTGGGAAAGATCTTAAGGAGGAAAGGGGGGGGAAGATCTTAGGGAGGAAAGGGAGACGATCTGGGAGAAAAGGACTTAGGGGGGAAAGCCTAACAGGGAAAGGGGGGAAAAGATCTTCGGAAGGAAAAGGGAGAAGCTCTCAGGGGGGGGAAAGGCCTTAGGGGGGAAAGGGGGAAAGGGATCCCAGCAGGGAAAGGGGGGGGGGGGAAAGATCTTAGGGAGGAAAGGGAGAAGATCTGGGACAAAGGCCTTAGAGGGGAAAGGGGAGAAATGATCTCAACAGGGAAGGGGTGGAAAAGATCTTAGGGAGGAAAGGGAGAAGATCTGGGGGAAAAAATCAACAGGGAAAGGGGGGGACAGATCTCAGTGAGGAAAGGGAGAAGATCCCAGGCAGGGAAAAGGCCTTAGGGGGGAAAGGGGGAAAGGATCTCAAACAGGGAAAGGGGGCAAAGGATCTTAGGGAGGAAAAGGGAGACGATCTGAAAAGGCCTTAGGGGGAAAAGGGGGAAAGGAGCTCAACAGGGAAAGGTGGGAGAGGATCTAGGGAGGAAAAGGGAGAAGATCTTGGGGGGAAAGGGGGAAAGGATCTCAACCAAGGGAAAAGATCTTGGGGAGGACAAGGGAGAAGATCTCAGGGGTGGAAAGGCCTTAGGGGGGAAAGAGGGGAAAGGACCTCAACAGGGAAAGGGGGCAAAGGATCTTAGGGAGGAAAAGGGAGAAGATCTTGGGGGGGAAAACGCCTTAGGGGGGAAAGGGCGGGAAAGGATCTCAACAAGGAAAGGGGGGAAAAGATCTTAGGAAGGAAAAGGGGGAAGATCGCGGGGGGAAAAAAGGCCTTAGGGGGGAAAGGAGGGAAAGGATCTCAACAGGGAGAGGGGGGAAAACATCGTAGGGAGGAAAAGGGAAAAACTCAGAGGGGGAAAGGGCCTTAGGGGGGAAAGGGGGAATGGCAGGGAAAGGTGGCAAAAGATCTTAGGAAGGAAAAGGGAAAGCTCTCAGGGGGGGGAAAGGCCTTAGGGGGGAAAGGGGGAAAAGGATCTCAGCAGGGAAAGGGGGGGGGGGAAAGATCTTAGGGAGGAAAGGGAGAAGATCTGGGGACAAAGGCCGTAGGGGGGAAAGGGGGGAAAGGATCTCAACAGGGAAAGGGGGGGAAAGATCTCAGGGAGGAAAGGAAAAAGATCCCAGGGAGGAAAAGGCCGTAGGGGGGGAAGTGGGGGAAAGGGAGGAAAAGGGAGAAGATCTCAGGGGGGAAAAGGCCTTAGGGGGGAAAGGGGGGAAAGGATCTCAACAGGGAGAGGGGGGAAAGCATCTTAGGGAGGAAAAGGGAAAAAAACAGAGGAAGAAAAGGCCTTAGGGCGGAAAGGGAAAATGGATCTCAACAAAGAAAGGGGGGCAAAAATCTCAGAGGGGAAGGGGGCAAGGGGACAATTCCAAAGGGACGCAAATAAGAAAGCAGGCCTGTAATGTCGGCGGCCTGAGCCGGAGGCGTTAATATATATATATATATATATATCTCCCTGGTGCCCACAGTTTATGCTTCAGGCACTCACCAACGGGCACCCTCCTTATTGCCCCCTTCTTTTTCATGGTGCGAGTGATTCCGGTGGAACTTGCGCATTGACAGCTTCTTTGAAGGCGTCAACGTCTGACCGCCTAAAAAGCAACCCCAAATTACACGGCAAATCCCAAGCCTACGGCTTGCCTACGGCGACTGCACCAAGCCATCAAAGAATCTTGCTGGCCCGCAGTCTGACTGTGTCAACTTGAACTCGGTGAGCCATTTTCAATAGATGCTCGCCGGTGAATCAGACAAAGCCATGCTCGATGTAGTCAGAATTCGGCAAGTTGCCAGACATGGGAGGTGAATGTGAGTTCCCTGGATCGAATGCGGGCACCTTTTCGTGTGAGCCCCCCATGTCCCTACCATTCGATCGGGAAACACCGCTTGAAACTTGAGACCGAACGTCCGCAAAATGCTGCAACCCAGCCATCCAAGTTGATGTTTGTTTGTGTTTTTTCTTAGAGCGTCCAGAAAGAATGGGATTTGAAAGCTTTGGCAAGCTTCACCAGTATGGCCATGGATTTTAATAAGGGACCCTTTGGTGGACATCATTTAGGTGGGGATTCATGTCCCCCAATCACTTTTGAGGTGGTTCCCTATTAAAAAATCATGGCCATATTGGCAAGTCTATTGGAAATCATTTGATCAAACCAATATCAAATATCAATAGACACATGCGGGTCTTCAACGGCAAACATCCGACAAGTCAACGAAACTCCCAGAGTTTTCAACCAACGAGTAGATCGCTTTCCAGACACAGCCCCGCCAGAGTTTTCGAGTCAAGAAGCCAGACGCGCAAGGAGTGAACGTTTGGATGTCTCCGAGTCCGGTCTGTAGCTTGGGCTTAGAATGGCTGAGAGCCCAACAGCCCCAAAACAATCAGCAGCTTCCCATGCACACAAACTCCTAGGTCCTCCAGAGAGGTTAGACCAAGGTTACCCTATTCTTTTCCGGTTTTGACTATTTTAGTAGGGGAACCCAAAACCCCAACAAAGGGGTTAAGAAGGGCACTACTGGGGGACCTAGGCTCTTTCAACAAAGTAGGAGCTCCGGGCTGAAACCACTGCCCTCTGGAGAACCCATGGAATTTCGATGTTCAAGCCGAAAGGACACCAGGGAACCCTTCGCTCGCGCGCTCGCTCGGCTCTCGACTCCGGTTTTTGGGGCCCCGCGCCGACACGGGGCGCGCGCACCCGCCGTCCCCCGCCAAGCAGAAGCGCCGGAAGGAAGGCAGCGACTCGAGTCTCGCACGGGCCGATCGAGTGGATTGACGACCAAAGTGAACCAACTTTGGGGGTTCCGCCCGGTTGGCCTTCCCAAGAAGTAACTAAAGTCCAGGAACTCAGGGAGTCCGCGTTTCACAAACTGGTCATCCCTTCAGCCACGGGAATGGTGCAAACCCTATTCAAGCGTCGACACCTCTTTCAACCTCCAGCGAACATGCCGGATTTTGCTGTGGAACAAAGGCGGGGAGCACATGATGCGGGGAGCACTTCTCAAAGGCTAAAACCAACAAACCTGCGAATGCGAAAAAATCCAGCCTTTAGAATTGTGCGGCTCCAGCTTCCTCTGCAGACCGCGAAAACACACAAACAAACAGACAAACCAACAAATAAACAAACAAACAAAGCAAAGCAAAGCAAGCATACAAACAAACAAACAAACAAACAAACAAACCAAACAAACAAACAAACAAACAAACAAACAAACAGACAGACAGACAGACAGACAGAGAAACAAACAACCAACAACATACACAATGACCATACCCTCACCTTTTTGCCAAACCCAATCCCTCGCCTGCGCTCGATGTTGCGAATCCTCTGCAAGTAGGCGGAGGTGAAAATGTTGGAACCTCGGGCTCCGCTCGAATGATTTCGGCTTCGGGCAAGCGATCTACGCTCGTGAATTTGATCGTCCGCGTATAACTTAGTCAACGTTGGAAAGGGAGCAAAAATTGAAATGTTAGCAGCTAAGTGAAGATTTCCCACTAGACAACAATAAGCAAAAATGCAAAATGCTTCCCAACAACACCCATGTATAGAAGAATGTGCCTCAAAGGAAAAAGCCCACAGCAGTGGATGGATGAAACCCGTTCGCATCACTTTGAAACCATGGTTGAAGCTGCAATTCCTTGGGAATTTAGGTAATCAAATCATTCCAGGCTTGGGTGTTGTTAAGCAACCACCTAAAATAGGAAGCCTAAAATGGGTGGTGAATTCACCGAACACCCCAAAATGGGATCCGATTGGTTTTGACCCACAGCCATATCTGTCTGACAGAATGAGCCATGTCTATATGACTGTGGGCCATGTGCCTGAGCATTTTCGTGAATGAAGCTCCGGTGAGTCGGTTGCAAGGCCAGGCTGAGGGCCCGGGCCGTCGGTGGTTGCATAAATCAATCTGACATAGAACTTTGGCACGGCGCGCTCCTGCGAGACATCGGAGTTGGATCAGATGGCGAGGAAACGAAAAAAATGGGCAGGCTGCCCTCATGCAAGAGGTAAACTTCCAAAAGGACACGGTAAGCACCTGCTTGTTTACCTCTTGATCTGTGTGCGCATCAAGTAGCAAAGCAAGAGGGCAAGCGGGCAAGCGACGCAGATCGCTCGTTTGAACAAACCAAATGCGGAAGAGGCGAAATGGCTTCGGTTGCTTTTTTGGCTTCCCTCCAAAACCCCAAACAAAGGGGAAACCTCAACAAGACACAACAACATTGAAGAACGGATACACAAACCCAGGTATCGATTGTTATAGTCCTCCATCGGTGATTGGAGAGGTCTCAGCTTTTGATGGTCCGTCGGTAGCCTTGATCCACTTCCCCGCTTGCCGAGCATGTTGTGTCGAAATGGACCATGGAAGCCAACCAAACCGCTGGACCCAACGCCTCCGTCCAAGCGAGGGAGTGTGACGTGCGTTGCTTGTTCGCATTCGCTCGAATTCCCTTGCAAATCAACATAGGCGTAAGTTCAGTCTCACATTCCGATGTGAAGTGGCGTTCCCGCAAAATCATTCGTCCACCTGTCCCGACATTCCAGTGAGGAGGTGCCCGCAGAACCGGCTTCTTTGTCAGGAGAGCATCTGGCATTGTCCTCCTGCTGGTTTCAAGAAGAACCCCACCAGCCGTAGAAAACACGGAAACAAGGAATCCGCCATCCAACCAACAAACCAAACCCAAACCCAACCAAACCCAACCAACCAAACCTCGCTTCCTGAGTAGATTGGGCAACCCAAAAAGTCGCAAAGCTCATTTGTTGACCACTCAAACAGTCCAAAAAACGTGGACTCCCGTCCGATCAGGAGTTCTCGCGGAACGCGGGTTCTCACGCACTGCGCCTCGGCCAGCTGGAGCCTTCGGCTGGCTCCGGCCTGGCGAGCGGGGGAACGAAAATCCCGCCACTTTGAAACCATGGGAAACCGTAATTGCACATTGGACGAGCAAAATGAGCATGTCAGGTCAGCAAAATGGTAGCAGTGACAACTCGCCGAATTGTAGCCGCAGGGGCATTTACAGGGGCAATCGACGAAGTTAGCAAGCGGTCACTTTGGGCTACCAGCTAACCGCAGGCTTCAACTCCAGTTGCACCAGTGCCGGGGAAACGACTCACTGCCGTTGGGCTTCCGAACGCGAAATGGGGATTTCGTCCATTCACCTCCGACTTTCCGTGAATGGAAATCAAGGAACCCTGCTCTCAACGAACACCCCCTCGCACCGAATTGCCGTGAAACTCCGTCGGTTTGAAGGCAAATTTAGGCGGATCCCCGAAAAATAGGCGCGCTTTAAAAGGCGAAAATGCAGCGGGTTTAAAATTTGAGAGGACCTCCCATCGTTTTGGTTGGATCCATGATTTTTGTTGTGTGGTTCTGAAAATTGGGGACCCGAAATGGTGAACAGACGGAGGGCGGCGTGTCAACCACTTTGGAGGTTCCAACCAACTCTGAAGATCTTTCCATTTGGTTGCAACAAGCAAAGGGGGGGGAAAACAAAAACGAGGGATCAAAACGTTGGGGAGTTCCCGAAACTGTGTGTCATCCTAAATAGGGGCACCAACTCCAAATCACACACACACACACATGCAGGTATGAATCTAATTCGCTGCACCCTTTGCCGGGTCCATGGGACGGAGGGGTCCTGAGCAGCTGAGCCGAGTTTGCGTGCTTCCCATCAAACCCACCCTTTGGCGCGGGAAGCTGAAGGCTGAATGGAGGCGTCTTGAAGTGCTGTGTGGGGGAGACCCAATTTCGAGTCAGGGGTCCAAGGCGATGGTATGGAGTAGCACAACGCTACTCGGACAGTATAAGACCTGGTCGGGCCATCAAAGTTGGGGCTGCTCACGCCGTGCCGTGGAGACCACAACAAGTCCGGCTAAAGCCAGGGGTACGCGAGATTTGAGGGCGAAACGAGGCACTGGGCAGGACCTAAATCTTCGAGATCCCAGGAGCCATTTGTGGTTGGGATTGGCCCTTACTACCCTTCAACTACCCGGATTTTGATGGCTCAAATGCGGTAGCTGTGAAGAAACCTGCCCGCCAAAGCTCCGAAACTCTGCCGCCCCGACAGGACTACGCCGTTCTCGTTGCGCGAACCGGATTCTCTCAGCATGCTTCCGAAGAAAAACTAGGTCCTCCAGTAAAGAGGTTACACTAAGTTGGTACCCTTTTGTTCCTGTAGTCTATTTTAGCAGACTAACCCAAAACCCCCTCAAACAAAAAGGGGGTGAGAAAAGGCACCAATCGCTGGGGGACCTAGAAAAGGAGATCTCCAGATTTGCTCCTTTTTTTTCTTGTGTGTGTGCGTGTGTTGTTAACTCGCGGCCAAACGTGAGACAAAGGATCGGCCCTTTCTGCTTTTTCTTCCGGCGCGCGCGAAGGTTCAGTGCGCCAAGAACCTGGGCGGGATGAGGCTAAGGCTAGTGAGTAGTGAATTGAGGTTATATGGCTGTGGCTCAAAAAACCCCTGGTAAGTGGAAACATGGACCAAAACCCGCGTAACCCCGCCTGTTTAATTTTGAGCCACACCCAAATACTTGGGGTCAGCTTCAGGAAGCTCCTGAAAACAGTCAGACTTTGATATTAGAGGAGAGGGCGCGTTGACCCGTGTCCCCTTGGCTCACTTTGAGACCGCCCAGGATAAACATACCTCGCAAAGAAAGGACTCATTCGACGGATCCTGCCAATGAAGAAGGGGTAAGTTCCCTGTCAAACCTGGTTCTCTCGTTGGGCTAAGGATCGATGTGGAAAGCGACCAAAGCATTCACTTGGCAAACAAAATTCGCCCACCGAGCCCTTGAAATTATACATCCTACCCCGATGTGGATCTGGATCCAGGTTCCGGTCCAAAATTCCCGTGCTTTCCAAGAATATCCTCTAAATCAGCTGGTATTTGGTGTTTGGTGTAAGGGGTCCCAAAATGGCTTCGGTCGTCCCTTTCGTTCCCCTTTCGGAGCATCCCCGTGAAAAATCACCCCGTTACAGGAAACTCAATGCAAACTGGCGTGGAAGCCGTCTTGTTTGAGGGGATACCCTGCTTGGTGTTGTTTTAAAGGGAAACCGAAAGGACACCCGAAGCCATTGGGGGGTCCCCTGAAAAGAAGACGGACCCGAAAGCATATGCCTCCTTGAGCGCCTCCAGAAAGGTCCCGAACCCACGAAAACCCAAGTTGGATACGGGTGGAATTTATTACTGAACCGCTGGGAGTGCGCTTTGGTTTTTGTTTGGTCGTTTTTGACTTGCTGTCTTCCCCATCTACCAGGGGTTAGCTGATTCACCGTGTCCTTCTTGGTCCCATAAGATGTGAGTTCCTGGGGTCGCTCCAAAGACCCAATCGGTACAAGGGGTATAAAGCTTGGCCCCTGGCAAAGGTCAACCAAACCACCCCTCATCCCTTGAAGCAGGAATCTGCTTTTGGGAAATGGACTCCCTTTTCCTCTATTTAACTTAAGTCCCCTGGACGTGGTAGATTCCCCTTAAAACCAACAGGGGGAAAATAAAAAAACTTAACCAAAATGGAAGTTTTGGGTTCCATCCTAATTTTGTCAAGGCAGACTCCCTCGCCCCCGCTCGCGCGCTTTCTCTTTCGCCGCATTTTGCCCTGCGCCTTTGGCGGGCCTGCGGCCTGCCGGCAAGTGGGCGAAACGCCCGAATTTTCAAGGAAAGCCAAAAAGGAAACGGTTTTTCGACTTGGCTGTGGGTCAAAACCCTCCCCCAGTGAACATCCCAATCCCCACTAAAATAGACCAAAATGGGTGGTGCACCTACCCCAAAATGGTACCATTGGTTTTGACCCATGGCCACTTGTCAAAACCTTTGGGTTTTATGCGCAGCCACTGGGTTCTTTGCTTGTGGTTTTGCTTGAATTTGCTCTTTGAATTGCTTTATGAACAGCCACTGCGTTTTTGCGCCAAAAAGAACAAAGAACCAAAGTTTGCAGTGCCTCAAACTAGGACATCTACGAAAAGGTGAGGTTCTGCGATCTCTGAGTTTGCACCCACTGGGAGCTTGCTTAGATCTCTAACCAAGTGATCCGCATGTAAGCATCTAAGGGTAGCTTCCCCATTCTTTCCAGGGATCCTTCTTTCTAGAAAACCACCAAAAACCCTGGGGAAACGGATCCGGTGATTGAAAAGAACGATGGTTGAAAAGAATGTGGCCATGGGTCAAAACCCACATCGTACCCCCCGTGAACCTCCGATTCAATCCAACCACCAAAATCGGTTATCCCAAAATGGGATCCCAAAACGCGTTTTGACAACGGCCATGGAACCTGGAAAATCGGGTTCCCCGGATTTCTCCTGGCAAGTCGCCGAGGGCCCAAGAACACCACCGAAACAGACACCCAAGCCTGCGCCTGGCTCGGCGGAAGTGGGCTCCAGCCTGACACGAAAAAACCCAAACGCGAGGTCTGCCAACTGAACAAAGCAAGTGGGACCAAACTGACAACAATCCGAACCCCCCAGTGAGTATGGTAAACAGGGACCCTTTGGCAGTCGATATAAAGGTAATCCCCTCCAAAATTCGAAGAAGGTCTCCAATGGGTGTTTGTTTGATCAAGGGTGAGCAAAGCCAGCTCCATCGCCTACATCAAAGTGAAACTTGTGATGGAGGGAAAGGCAAAGCGTCCGCCGAATGATGTGGGCGGTGTTGCAAAAGAACTCGCGCCCTGAGCTTCACGGATTGCTGTCGATGCGGATCTTGCCACGCCCAAAAAAAGAAATGCAAGGGGAAATCAGTCAAAGCCAAGCAAAATTAATTTTGCAAGCTCACAGCTTGAAAACCGAGGTCACCCATGAAGGAGTGTTTTCGGGTTTGGGAAGTAACTTCCAACTGTATCGCCCCCGTTTTCACCAAAGGTTCAAAGTTCGATGTATCAATCAAGAATCAACTCGAGAATTTCAAGGCTGACCCATCTGCATGAATCAGGATTTGTTCCATGGAACAGCTTAATGGCAAACCTCATGAGCTGGCCCTAGCTTGGGTCCCACTGGAAAATGATCAGACTTGAATTTGCCAGATCCATAGATCAACCAAACTCACCACAAAGGACCCCCGCCGCCCGGACAAATGTAACCGAAGTTAGGGCAGTGCACTAGGTGCAACTTTGTCTTTCAAGCAATCATGTGCCATCGACGGTATGGAGGGGAACTTGACAAAAGGAAGCCGGGGTCAAAACTATCTCAGCTTCACTCAACTAGTTGTTTCACATGGGGGGTTCTCAAAATACAGGACCCCTCTTTGGATGGTGTTAAAACGGAAACCAAGAACAAAACCACCCAGCAGAAGGGCCCTCAATTTTGAAAAAAAAAAAAACATGTGAGTCATAGTACTTGGGGTTCGTCTCCACCTTCCGCAAATCGGCCCGTTCTGCATCTACTAGGTCCTCCAGTAGAGAGGTTAGAATAAGGGTACCAACTTTTTGGTGTGGTCTATTTTAGTAGGGGATTCCTCCCCCAAAAAAGGGGTTAAGAAAGGGCACCAATCGCTGGGGGACCTATGAATCACCATGTCACCATAGGAGGACACGCCAAAAATCGCGGCTTCCCCTCCCCCCAACCTCCTCCCAGGTGCTGTGGCCGCAGTGGCCAGAAATCATCCCCACGAACGAGCAAAGGGTACCTTTTTTGGGGGGTGCAAACAGAAACCGACCAAAAAGCCAGTAAGCCAGTCAGTTTCGGGGATTTCATATCAGAAAAGATCTAGGTGTGTCTTTTTTGACAACGCCATGTTTGGGCTTGTCTGAATGGAAAACTAAAGGAACCCCGATCGATTTGTGTCCCAATTTCTTTGAGACACACCCATATCCCCAAAAATGGTCCGAGCCCGACTGCCTCTGCCGGCGCATCTCCGAAAGCAGCCACTCCCTCTTCGCCCCCCCTGCAAGGCCGGCTGGATCCGCGTCCAACATGGGTGGCTCGTCTTTTTGAGGGTACCCCGTTTTGGGGTGTTTTTTAGTGGGACAGCACAGGGACACCGCCCAATTCGTGGGTTGCCCCGTTTTGAGACAGACCCTCTGAACACCAAGTCCCAAGCCGATCTCGCGGGGCCGAATGGGAGACTCCCAGCAAGAGCTCAAAATGGAATTCCGATTTCTTATCACAGGGTATACGTTGTAACTCACAGGGTAAACAAGGGTATTCTTATCACAGGGAATTCTTATCAAATTGGGATTCCGTTGTAACTCGGGGTAAACAACTGCCATCCGCCCGTTGGGATTGAGGATGAAATTCGAACAACCCCAATTGAGTCACTTGCTCAAAACCCGGTACCAAAATGGTCGACCCAGAACCATGTAAAGAATTTACAAGGCGGCCGCAGCTATTTCTGGTTGGGATCGTCCCTGACTAACCTTCATCTACCCTGGTTTTGATTGTGGCTCAATTGCAGGCCCCTAGTTTTGGCTCCCGCCTACCCTTGATGAAAAGTGTTGGCCGGAAAAACTGGCCATGAAAAAAGTCCACGCAGAATCCAGCAGCCAGGAACAATGCAGGCAACGAACGGGCTACCCTTTGGGGCTGGTTTTGAAAGGGAAACCAAACGGGACCCCCCCCCAAAATCCAAAATTCACCCCAATCCATGCGTGGCCCAGCTTGCAAGTTGGGCTTTCGGAACAAGAGTCGGAGCTTGGCCCAAGTCCCCAAAGCCGCTGGCCCTGCGCAGTTTGCATTTGCGGCCAACCCGTCCCGAAAAGAGCTGGGGCAGACCACATGGATTGGCCGTAAAAAAGAAATAGGTTCCCCCGCTTTTGACACCTATCCATCCGAAGAAACCCGGGATGCGACTGTTCAGCGCTAAGTGACACATTCGAGTTGAAAGCTCCGGACCCTGGTAAGACTTTTCCCCCGCAACCTGTGGATGGACAAGATCCTGTTCACCAGTTGAACTCGATTTGAACAAGCCTGTGCTGCTTCTCAAATCCCCTGCTAGAAGTCCAACCTTTCGCAGATTAAACGGCAACCCCCACCAAACCAACTAAAAACCTAAAACTAAAAACCCTAGCCGGACTCCCTCACTTCCTGACTGGATTGGCCAAAAAAGAGAAAGGTCCGAACTTTTGATCTACCACAACGGTCACCCAACCCCAACAAGTGAAAGTCCGCACCTCCCGGACCTCAGGTCCCCCGCCTGCGGCTTGCGCCGTCTGGCAGCACACGGCGTTGGGCGCCAGGCGCTCCGCGGCCATGCGCCGCAGCACCTGCAGCGCCCCCTCCGCGTCCCTGGCGCGGGCGTGCGCCAGCAGCAGCGCGCCTGATCCGAGCCCCCGAAATCGGCGACATCGGCGCCCAAAGAAAACCATGCCGGAGTCCCACGGTTGGTTTAACGGCACCCAGAATTACCCCCCGATCTACAAATGCGCCTGGGGATCTGCAGGCCTTGGGATGTCCACACCTTTGTTGGGGGCTGAGCGCGTTGCTTTTCTGCGGAAAAGCAACAAAAAGAACAAACATCGCCAACAACCCACCGCCCAACCAACCCACCGACTGACCCACCGACTGACCCACCCACCCACCCGCCCACCCGCCCGCCAACCAACCAACCAACAAACCAACCCAACCCAACCCAAACCAAACCAACCCAACCCAAACCAAACCAAACCCACCAACCAACCAACCAACCAACCAACCCACCACCTCCCCCCAGTTTGGAAGCCCCGCCGTAGGACACCATGTCCATGGCCAGGTGCTCTCGCTCCATGCGCCTCACCAGGCCCTGAGCCTCCTGCACCCGACCTGGAGCTGACCGGCTGGTGCGATAGGCAGGGAGCGACAGCTGCAAAAAAAAACTCCCAGCCTCAAACATGAAGTTTGGAATGCTGACTCCTATTCCAACTCTATCTGTGAAGCAATCGCTAAGAGTATTGATGACTTCATTGGAGGTGTCACTCAAGCTCCAGAGACCAACTTCTACTCTCAAATCGTACAACAAGTCTCTGAGTTTTAAAAAAGAACCGGCTTTGGAAATTCCTGAACAAAGGAAACCAAATCGGGGATGGTTTTCCTTGCGGGCATTCCATGTCTCATTCGCTGCCCATCGCACCAAGGTGAAGTGGAATGAGAAAATACCACCGGTTCGCGTGTTCTGCTTCGCCTGACTACCATGTTCCTAAGAGCTCTGAAGCATCTTGGCTGAGGGCACTTTGTTGGGACCTGTTTGTGCGAAGCCTAACCTCAAACAAATAACAAAAAGCAGCGCGTAAGTTCGGATTCCTCCGGAGCGTACCTTTTCAGGCCGCCCAAAGAAGGCATAAGACCACCGAAATCTTTTTCACCGGGTTCCTTGAGTACTGCCCTCCGGATGAATCCGAGGGCATTCAGGGAACGAGCGGCCAGGTCAAAACACTTTGGCGCCTTCCGATCTTGCCCCGACTTTCGCTTTTCGCCCGGACAAAAGCATCAGCTTTCGCGCCCCATGAAACAAAACGGGTGAGTGAAACTGCAACCCAGCACTTCCCACGCGGCACTAGTGGCACATGCGCATCTTACCAGAGGTCTTTGGCGGGATATACCTCCCTTCCAATGGCAAATAAGGCCCAGGCGTCCTTTTGGCACAGATCGATTCCACTAGTACATGATGAACACCAAACTGAAGCCAAATGACCACTGCCATCTATGCTCAGCCAAACTCCACTTCCTCCCACAAACCGATGGCGCCTGTGGGAGGGGTACCTAGAAGCTCAATTATCTCTTGAATGTCAGGTGCCATCTGCTACCAAAA